TTAGATTTCTGAATGTGGAGTTTCAAGCCAACTTTGTCACTCTCTTCTTTCACTTTCATCAAGAGGCTCTTTAGTTCTTCTTCGCTTTTTGCCATAAGGGTGGTGTCATCTACATATCTGAGGTTATTGATATCTCTCCCAGCAATCTTGATTCTAGCTTATGCTTCATCCAGCCTGGCATTTCCCATGATGTACTCTGCATATAAGTTAGATAAGCAGGGTGACAATGTATAGCCTTTCCCAATATGGAAAGTACAATATGGAGTATAATGATGTACTCCTTTCCCAATATGGAACCAGTCTGTTGTTCCATGTCCAGTTCTGACTGTTGCTTCCTGACCTGCATACAGAGTTTTCAGGAAGCAGGTCAGATGATCTGGTATTCCCATCTTTTTAAGAATTTTCCAGTTTGTTGTGATCCACACAGTCAAAGGCTTGGGCATAGTCAGTAAAGCAGAAATAAACATTTTTCTGGAACTCTCTTGCTTTTTCAATGATCCAATGGATGTTGGCAATTTGAACTCTGGTTCCTCTGACTTTTCTAAAACCAGCTTGAACATCTGGAAGTTTACAGTTCATGTACTGTTGAAGCCTGGCTTGGAGAATTTTGAGCATTGCTTTGCTGGCATGAGATGAGTGCAATTGTGCGGTAGTTTGAGCATTCTTTGGCATTACCTTTCTTTGGGATTGGAATGAAAACTGACCTTTTCTAGTCCAGGATAAAAACCCACAGGACATTATTATTCTGTATTAAACAAATAATTCTCTTAAAATTTACATAATTATCCTTGCCTGTAATTTTTTTCTCCTCCTGAGGATTTAGGATCATTTTCCTTAAGCAGGATTGCAGGAAGTGAATTATGAGGGGTTTTTTTTGTCTGAAAACATCTTATTTCAGCTTGATTCTTGAAAGCTTTTTCTCTACATATAGAACTTGGTTAGCTTTTTTTTTCCCTTTAGTAACTTTAAGATGTCATTCTATGATCTTCTGGATTTCATGGTTCTGTTGAAGAGTCAGGATTCAGACTTAGTGTTGCTTTTTAAAATTTACTGTCTTTTCCCTCTGGTTCCTAACATGTTATCTGTCTTTTGTTTTCACATTTTTATTATTATTTGCTCCAGATACCCTCCTCTACTAGCAGAGATTTGATCTTTATTCTATGAGACAGAACCAACCTCTCTAACAGGTAGAAGGATAAGAGGCTGAGTATCTCAATCCAATGAGGGACTGAGTCATATGTATCCAGGCCGTGTTGTGAAGTCTTAGTAAGATGCAGCTCACATCTGCCTCACTCCTAATCCTTGAATATTGTCACAGGGGTTTGAGGTCCTAGTGGTCTATGTCTCCTTATCCTTGAAAGACTATCAAAGATTCATTTCTGCTCTTTTGGTGGACATTTAGTTTACACTAATTCACAAAAGTAATAGTGTTGTTTTTTTTTTAAAGAAAAATAAATAACTTCGTTTTCTTATCACTTGTCATTGAAAATGCTAGCAGCAGAAGAGGTTTTAGTTTTTTCTTAACCTGCATTTTCATTTCTTCAAAAATTTACTGTTGAGTGACATCACTCTGTTGACTCTCTGAACAGTTAGGCCTCAGAACTAGTAGTCTACTCACAAGTGGATGTACCCATGTGATAACACTTCAGTATGATTATCCTTCTTTCACCGCCTTTGAAACAACTTGAAAATATTAAACTCCAATGTAAGAGTCAACTCCAATTTAAGATTCATCTTTCAGAAACTAGTATGTGTTGCAGAGCAATTAATAGCTTTCTGTTTTTCATATTAACCATGCAACTTGAGAGAACAATTATTTTATGTGCAACTTATCTTATGGAAAGTATACTTAATTGTGACTATATGAGTTGAGGGGCTTCTCTGGTGGCTCAGTGATAAAGAATCCACCGGCACTGCAGGGGACTAAGGAGACTGGAGTTTGATCCCTGGGTCAGGAAGATCCCTTGGAGGAGGAAATGGCAACCCATTCCAGCATTCTTGCTGGGAAAATCCTATGGGCAGAGGAGCCTGAGAAGCCACAGTCCACAGAATCACAAAGAGTCAAGACACAACTAAGCAAGTATATCATCAGGTAATGATGAGTTGATAAATGAATAAAATTAATAGTAATTATTGAGAAATTATTCACTGCTTTGTGTGTGTGAGGGGGAGATACAAAAAATGTATATATTTTTCTTCCCTCAAGGTTTTCCAGTCTGATTTGATGATTAGATTATGAAAAGTACAAATTTTTAGGATAATTGACTCAGTAAATCACATGAATTTCAAAAGTTAGTACAACCCAGAACACTTCTACACAATCCTGCCAGGTTGACATTGCTATAGGTAAATTCCAGTTTATCTATAGAACAGCTACTTATAGGATAGGGGACAAACTTTAGAAACAGCTTTGATCTTAGCTCATAATTAATTTACTGCTAAATATTTTCACTGTTTACAGTTTGTGAGATGCTGAATTCAGGCAAAGTTTGGCAAATAAAGTGATATACTGGTATCATCTAGTAGAAAAAACCTTCGTAAGATCATTTTACCAGAAGACTAAGATGACTGAACAGTAGCGTGTAATCCAAAGTCTGTTCTATATATTTTAGTACATTTGAGTAGCTGTAAAATTCTTACTTCATCAAATACTGTTCTGAAGTAACTGGGCTCACACTTATTGGTACTTATAATCAAAGGATTTGCTGGAACCAAGTTATTTATCTTTTAATATTAATGATAATCTCTTAAGCCCTAAAAATTGTTAATATTAAAATATTCCTCATATTATGATCACATTGGAGAAGGAAGTAGCAACCCACTCCAGTATTTTTGCCTGGGAAATTCCAAGGATAGAAGAGCCTGGCAGGCTACATTCCAAGGGGTCTTAAAAGAATTGGACACAACTTAGTGACTAAACAACACACACACACACACACACACACACACACACACACAGGAGAAGGTAATGACAACCCACTCCAGTATTCTTGCTTGGAAAATCCCATGGACAGAGAAGACTGGCTACAGTCCATAGCATTGCAAAGAGTAGGACACAACTGAAGTGACTTAACATAGCATGATCACATACGAACAGAATTATAGAGGTTGTCCCCCAAATGTCACTTTACTGTCAACTAAGTGTCTAGAAATGTTAAATGTAAATGTACCATTCAAAAATCACAGCCCTTGTTGGACTGTAATTTATACATTTTAAAAAATAAAAAACATAAACACTTTCCTCTTTATCATCTTTTAGAAAGATGTCAGTATTCTAAAAAAAAAATAAATCTGGAAAATTAGTTTTGGAATATACAAAATTGATGTTTCTGAAAAGAAATGGCTTTAAAGTTGACCACCTTTTCTTTGGACATACAATCTTACTTTCCCATTTAGAACCATTGCAGGATTAGAAGCAAAACGAGAAACATCTTTAGTACTATCTCTTCATAGGAAATTTCAGTTTTCTGATAAAGTCACAATAGTATGAATATACTAAGTAATTCATAATAGTGAACTGGCCTTTTGTATATTTAATCCATTCTTTCTGAACAACATTTGGGATTATGATTTTTGTGTGTGTGATCCAACTCATCATCTGACACACTTGCTCAGTTGCTTAGTCGGATCCGGCTCTTTGTGACTCTATGCACTGTGGCCTGCCAGGGTCCTCTGTCCATACCAGATTCTCTATATAGTTTCTATTAAAAAAAAAAAAAACTGTTCTATAACCAACCACTGTCTAGATCTCACTTAAACCTTATTTCATTTGACTTCATTGTGCATCTCAATGTTACTTTTAGATCAGGAAGTACAGCAGAGTGAAGACTTACATGGAGCATAAAAGTAGACTAAATATAGAAATGTTTTCCTGTTCTTTGCTGTGATGAATAAAGAATGGAAATTGGTGTCAGCAGAGTTGGCTCCTTCTGATGGTTGTAAGGGAAAGATCTATTTCAGACCCTTTTCCTTAGCTTGTAGATGTCCATCCTCTCCCTGCCTTTTCACATCATCTTACCTCCATGCCTGACTCTGTGGCCAGACTTAACCTTTCTACTTAAAAGGATACTAGTCATATTAGATTAGGGGTCCACCCAGTTCCAGTATGACCTCATCGTAACTAATTACGTTTGCAATGACCCTATTGTCAAATAAGATCAGTTACAATTGTGCTATAAAAACACACAAAAATCCAAATAAAAAAATCATATACATTATTCAAATAGCAACAAAAAGATCACTAATGCCTTAGTTTTCAAATTTATTTTTAAACTCAGTGATACTAAGTACACGCATAACATTGTGCAACTAACATCATTTCCATTTTCAAAAACCTAGTTTTTATTAATAAATCTAGATTGATAGCTGCTGGAACTGAGGTTCAACCGAGTAGGATAACTGTATATAAACCAAATAGGAGCACGCAGTCTAACAAATGCCAGCGAACTTACTGAGAAAAAAACAGAATATTTAAAATCTGTTGAAACCAACTGTCACTGTAACATACGCGCCAACAGGAAAAATAACCCTCCAAGCTAAATACGAAACAGAAAAAGCTTAAGATGTCAGTCAACGTCCTTCTACCCCTGGAAGGGCGACTGGTAACAACTGGAAGCAGTAAGTTAAGGTCGCTAGCATGCGCTCGCATCAGAAACTAAAACGAAGGTTCGTAACTTGGGCTTGGAGAACCCTTGAAACGACAGGGCACGCTTAAATGCGGTGGGGGGTCCAGAGCGTTCACGGGATCTTCGACAGGAAGGTTTTAAAAACGACGTTATTGCGGGGACAGGACAGGGACCATCGCGGTGATAGCGGGCGGGCCTTAAAGGACGGGGTCGCAAGCTTAGAACCCTCGGCGGAGCGATCCAGTGAGGGATGATGGGTGAAGGATGGATGTGAGTGTGGACCTAGCCCCAGGTTCATGGCCTGGGAACTAGGCCCGGATGCAGGGGCGGGGCCGGGAAGACACCGCCTACCGGCGTCCCCGTTTACCCCGGAATATGATGCCCAGACAAAGGGAGAGGGAAGAGGGGTCCCGCAGGGACTTCACAGGCGTGGCTATAGCCCCGAGGGGTCGGGAACATCTCCCCCCACCCTTCGCCGGTTCGTGCCACCCGTCTTCCTCTGGTCCTACCCAAGCCTCTGCGACAACCGGCGGGGCTGGCCGTCGGCCGCAGCGCACGCTCCTCAGCCTGCCCATTTGTTATTCTCTGGATGGGGCGGCGACCACCGAGCCGGGAGCCTGGGCTGCGGGCCGCGCTGGGGCGGGGCACAAACAGGATCGGGGCCAGCAGGGACGTTACTTCTGCCGCATCAGCGCCGGCAAACCAAGTACCGTGGACCCGGAAGATCTGCCCTGCGGCTCGCGACTGGGAATTTTTAAATCTGGCTGGGTTTACCCCGCGGGCCAGCCACGCCCCGCGCCGCCTGCCTCAGCCAGTCAGCGCCAGGCCCGCCATTTTTCAAACCCTCTTCTGGCCGCCAATCAGGATCGAGTAGCACATTCCTCTCCTGACCGGTTCTAACGGGTCTGGGAGTTAACGACCCGGGCGACCCACCGAACCTGCTAGGCTGCGGCTGAGGGGACGGACCTGGTGACATACCGACCAATAGAAAGCCGTCTTGGTGAGGGGGCGGGGCCTCCTCGTGTTTGAATAATCCCCAGGGCCAATCGGAGAGGCGGGGGAGTGGCTTGTGACCCGGCTCGTCAAGTTGCCGTGGCGCGGAGAAGTCTGCAAAACAAGAGGCGGAGGATTGCGTTAGCGAGGAACCAGTTCACGCCGGAGCCAGAGCAGCAGCGTCGCGGTGAAACGCGGCCGCTGCGCGGAACTCTGAGGAAAATCTTTCGCCAGGCAAGAGCCCGCTCCGGGCCGTGGGTGCGCGGTCGGCTGGCCTCCTTTCGTAACGGCTTGCTGGGGCGCCGCGGCTGCTGGGGGAGAGCCCCTCCGGTGGTTTCCGGGTGCGGGCCTGACGGGCCGGGTTGCGGAGGCGGGAAGCTCGGTCGGACCCGGCTCCGGAGTCTTTTGAACGCGGGGCGCGAGGCGGCACCTGGGACTCAGCTCGCGGCGTGGAAGCCCGGGGCTTTCCTGTCAGGAAGGGCTGGGCTGGGGCGGGCGGCAGGCCCGCGAGTGTGGCGTGGGGGAGGGCGGGGGCGTTTGGGCGGGAAGCAGCCCCGCCCGCCAGCGCTCGACCGCTCTCCCGCCAGGTGGACACGCCGCCTCCGCCGCAGCAGCAGCATCATGGGGAAGGGCGACCCCAACAAGCCGCGGGGCAAGATGTCTTCGTACGCCTTCTTCGTGCAGACCTGCCGCGAGGAGCACAAGAAGAAGCACCCCGACTCCTCAGTCAATTTCGCAGAGTTTTCCAAGAAATGTTCCGAGAGATGGAAGGTGAGCCGGGGCGCCCGGGGGCCACACGCGGGCGGGTGGCCGTGACTTTGAACTTCTCCTCGCGACTGACGCGCGCGCAAGTTTTATTACGAGTTTGAAGTTCAGGACTTAGGGTGCTTGTTTATTTTAAGGGAACTGAGGCAAAACGGTCCTTACTGAGGAAAACCGGGAGCTAAAGAGGATCACGCTCTTTTGGAGACGGATGCGAGTTTCGAGTCCTGCTATATATTCACTACTCTTTTTATGCTTACAGACCATGTCGGCCAAGGAAAAGTCCAAGTTCGAAGACATGGCAAAAAGTGACAAAGCTCGCTACGACAGGGAGATGAAAAATTATGTCCCTCCTAAAGGTGACAAGAAGGGAAAGAAAAAAGATCCCAACGCTCCGAAAAGGCCTCCGTAAGTGTCTTTTAAAACCAACCGAATTGCGCCCCCCCCCCCCCCCCCGCCCGCTTTTTCATTCAGGTTATTACAGCTTTGTTCCTTTCAGATCTGCCTTCTTCCTGTTTTGCTCTGAACATCGCCCAAAGATCAAAAGCGAACACCCTGGCTTATCCATTGGGGATACTGCAAAAAAATTGGGTGAAATGTGGTCTGAGCAGTCAGCCAAAGATAAACAGCCGTATGAACAGAAAGCAGCTAAGCTAAAGGAAAAATACGAAAAGGTGTGTTGTCACTTTTTTTTAAGCCAGTGTGAAATCCAGTAATATTTTCTAAATCAGTATGTTAGAAATAGAAGCTGTAGAAATTTGGGAGCTATACATAGTTCTGTGTTAATGGTTTTCAGCTTTGTTTTGAAAAGGTCTAGTGAGAATTGTACACTTAGGCAACACAAGCTAATTGAAACTTTTCTTTTGACCGAAACCAATGTCTGTAGCATTGGTAGGTTGGTGCATTCAGACTCATTTGTAGTAAAATAGGTCTCTTAGTTAAGAAGACTGGAGGGCCAAATGTTTTATGTAGATGTATCCAAGATGTGAAGTTAGGGGGTGAGCTATGAGATTAACAGATAATGGTAGTGAAAGTACTGACATCAGTCTAATACACCCTAGTTATTTTACGTCATTATCTTTCTAAGACCTGGGGGGATCAAATGCTCTCAGAACCCGAGTTTTAGACTGTCATTAGGGTTATTGGCCAATAATCGCAGATTGTTTACAATTTAGTGGTTTTCACGGTTGGGTAATGACACCGGATGCTGATTTTATTTTTTTTAACTATTTCAGGATATTGCTGCATACCGTGCCAAGGGCAAGAGTGAAGCGGGAAAAAAGGGCCCTGGCAGGCCGACAGGCTCCAAGAAGAAGAATGAACCAGAAGATGAGGAGGAAGAGGAGGAGGAAGAAGATGAAGATGAGGAAGAGGAAGAGGAAGATGAGGAATAAATGGCTATCTTGTAATGATGTGTGTGGAGTATGCGTGTGTGCTCAGGCAATTGTTTTGCTAAGAATGTGAATTCAAGTGCAGCTCAATATTAGCTTCAGTATAAAAATTGTACAGATTTTTGTATAGCTGATAAGATTCTTTGTAGAGAAAATACTTTTTTAAAAATGCAAGTTGTGGCTTTTTGAGGGGCTACTACATACAGTTAGATTTTCAAGCTTCTGATGTTAAATGTTTCTAAATATTTAATGGTTTCTTTAATTTCTTGACTTGTGTATGGTAGCACAGCAAACTCATAGAAATTAGCATCAATAGCAAATTTTGGGTTTTCTAGAACGAGAATGTTGCATTTTCTTTTTTTAAAAAAAATTTTGTAATAAAATTATATATATTATTTCTATTGTCCTTGTCTCATATGCTAAATTAGCTTTTACTTTCATGGTCTGGAGCCATATCACTTTTTGTCTTTCTGCCTAATACTTCTTTGACATGGTTGATTTAGTAGAATGTTTTGTTAAAAGTCAAACATGCCCATATTCATATTTACACAGCATTCTTTAAAAATCAATTCTGGAATTTAATGAACTTTAAAAATTTATGCAGTCTTATACACTGAGCAAGTTTTGTTCTTGACATTTATGTTCATTTGTTAGCTAACTTGTCCCTTGGGCCTTTTCTTTTTAGTTGACATTTTAAGATTTCAAAAATCAGTGTGGTCTTAAGCCTAGAAATCTGGGTAACTAACCCAAGAAAGCTTTTGAGATGATTATTGTGATTTTCCATGACTAACGAGATGAAATTCCGCTAGGATTTCTATTTACAGGTGAAAGCAGTTATTAAGAAATGCTCATTTGAGAAAGCAGTTGCTTGTATTTGAATTAGGTAACTATTTCAAATCGTTACCAAGTTAGTGAAAGTTGGCAGAGTGTTGGCTGGAAGAGTATAGAAGAAACCTCTTGGTTGGTAGTTTGACAGTTAAACCTGACAATCTTGGTTACCTATTCTAGTTTTTACAATAGAAACCAAAATTCTTAATACCCAACCATGGGAGCCTTGGTTGTCTATCTTACACCATATTCAGAGTAAAATATTTTAGGATTTCTTTCTTACACAACATTGTTAAATGGGAGGTGTAAGTTACAGCATAAATCCCAGAGCAGATGGACTCAGGTAAAATCTCCAAACTTATTAGTGATGGCCGTCTATTATCATATCACAGTTGTTATTTGGGGGCCTTTTCTGATCCTAAAAACTACTTTTACGTGTCTAAAAACTATTTCCTGATGTTAGGTGACAACACTAAAATACTGTGGGATAATGTTTTTCCCCAGCTCTACCAAATCCTGCGTGAACTTTGCCTGTGGGTTTATTTCTCTCCATTTGTGTATGGGGTCAATATCTACTTTGAAGTGTTCTGATGATTAAGAATTATTTACAAGTAGTTTACAATAGTCCTTAATGCTTAGAAAAGATACTAGTTTCTAAAATTGAAATACAATGAGAGTCTGTTTCTTAAGGATTTTTTTAAAAATTAGATCCATGAAGCAGACCTATCAGGTTCCTTGTCACTTTCTGAGATTTTTTGGGGACTAGTTTCATTTTTTTCTTTAAATGAAATAAATTTTAAATATGTAAGCTAAGAATGACACATTTTTTAAAAAATGAGCTGCTGTGTCATCTCAGCATTTGCAATGAGTCCTTACTTGATATTTTAAGTGTTGATCAAAATTTGCAACACCCTTGTTTTTAAGACTAAATGACTTCAAGGAGTGGTTATGTTGGAAAGCATTAAAACATGGGTAAGAATCAGGTTCTATTCCAGACGAGTCAGTACTTGGGGGGGGGGGTGTGCTTATGAAGACCATACCCCCTTTTTTTAAAAAACAAGTCATTTCGTTATGTAAATGGGCTATATAGTGGGTAGTTTACAATCTTGATTTCCAACTACCAGCTTCTCCCAAGAGGCAACTCCAGGAGTACAATGATACATCCTTCAAGAGAGACGGAAGCACAATAGTCATGTGATTTCATATTAATATTACACAAAGGAAGCTTACTATATATGTTGTCCTGCCCCTTAATTCTCATTTTAGGTTCTTGGCTCAACAGAATTGCCACATTTCACTTAAATAGCCATCTGCATAGTACCCCACTGAATAGATCATAACTTAACCAGTTCCCTAAAGATAGTTATGTTTGAATTTTTTTAAGAACATTGCCATGAATATCTTATAGTTACGATTTCAGAAATTTCTATAAAAAGCATTTAAAAGTTTGCACATTAAAAAATGTGTTAATTATAATAGCTAAAACCTGTACTTGGTATACGCTGGAACCTGCTCTCTGGCTGTTAACTTGCTGAAACTTGCCAAAATTGCTCTCAGAAGTTGTGCTGAAACATACTCCACAGCAATGACTACTGTTTCAGAGGGCCTGTTTCCTCAGCAACGTTATCAGTCTCAAACTTCTTAATCTTTGCTATCCTGATATATAAAAAATGGTTCCTCCTATTATGGATTTAGCATATTTTTATGTTAAAGAGCCATTTGTATTTCCCATGGCCTTCTGTCTCATTGGTCTTTTTTTTAGTCATTTGTGGGAAATAAGGAAGATGACCCTTTGTGACATGCATTGTAAATATAGGTATTTTTTCTTTGTTGTCTTTTGACTTTATGATGCTTGTTTTCATACAAAGATTTATTTTTATGAGGCAAATTTATCCTTTAGTGGCCTTGGGAGACCTTTCCCAATTT